TCATACTAGCACGAACACCATTCTAATTCAAATTCAGGACCGACCGCGTCAGCCTTAAATCTGTATCTCCCTTATCCCAGGCCAGTATTCCCAGTTCTCAATGCCATCGATTTAATTACCCATTTGCTACATTCCACAAAACACTCAGAATAATACCAACCCTGCCACAACAATATGATTACCAAAACCAATTTGCATTTTTCCTCTTTTCAGTTAGTTTTGTCATCAGTTTATATCCCTTTAGAGCGGCTATTCTCCTGGTAACATTTATAATGTCTGCGGACATTTCTGGTGGGTATAGGTCAGGGATGAAGGTGAGCTAGGGCTCAACTGGAGGGTCCTGGGTCTCTTGGTTATTGTCAGTGAGCCAGCTAGAACTGGGACTAAAAGGGTCCCAGAGCTACTAGCAGATTACTGAATCTCGCTGTCCATGGGGACTCAGCCATGTAGTCTCTCCACTTTGGTTAGATTGGGCTTCCTCACAACACGGCAGCCCGAGTCCTTTCTATGGTGGCTGAAGACAAACAAGGAACCCTTTTTTCAGATGCATGCAGAAGTGTAGCTTCCAAACTTGTCCCATTCCCCTGTTCTTTCCTTACGCCTAGAGTATAAACATTTAAAGTTCTTTTTTCTTAATAGTTTTATTGGGATTTACATTGCCTATCATACAATATTTTTATTAGTTCTTGGTGTATCATTTTGTTGTTTCTTTTGAAATGCTCTGAATAACCTTGTTGTCAATATGGTGTATACTTTTGCCCATTTATCTTTTGGATAGATTCTTAGAGGTGGAATTGCTGAGTCATAGTACATGAAGATAGAGTTTTCTTTTTGGTTCTAAATATACTGAGTCAAAAAAAGTACATATCAGCACATAGAATATGCCACTTAAATGACAAGGATTAAAGTTACATCTACTACATCCTTACTTCTATATGCTATATTATCTCTGAACATATACAAGAAGGGGGAAGGGAAAGGTGTACCTGGATGCTTAAGCATAGAAGAAGACTTTTTAATTGAAAAGACTTTAATCTTTATTCTAAGCCATGTTGGTAAAATACCTATTTTTAAAGCTATCATACTTTTTGCTATTACAACACGTTTTACACACCCAATTTAGTGGCATTAACAGTTTTCATCATGTGTAACCCTGATCATTATCCATTTCCAAATATCCCATCACAGAGCTCAGAGCCCTGGACACTTCCCTAAAAAGCAAAATTGTAAACATTTTTTAAAGTGAAAAAAGATGTTTCTACTTTAAGTTATAGAAACCACAGGAGATACTCAGAAGCTGCATTGTGTAGGGAAGACGGGGGCCTCACTTTGTGCTCAGGCAGCTTTGCTTAGAAAGTCTACACAAATCTCTACTAACAAAATGGCTCCCTGGGGTTGGCCCCTTCTGGGAAGTTTACAGTTTCATCATTTCTTCTGTGTTCTGTGCTCAGAAGGGTGTTCTACTGTTAGGACTATATGCTATGCATACTTTCTTTTTCTTTAAAAAAAAAAAAAATTTTAAAGGGGCTGGTTGATTTTGTGTAGCCACTTTTGCTTCAATTCATGGGGTTGAATTCCCTGTTTTGTGGAGTTTGTCAGTGCCAAGCATTAGCTCACTGTCTGAGGAGAAAATGACCCGCCCTGGCTACCAGCGCTCACTCTGGTAGGAAGAGATGCTAGCCCAGTCTGACTGCATAGTGGGTCACTGGTGGAATGTTGCCTCCACCTGAATCCTGGCCGCCGTTTTTGGCTTTAAAACAATGTACTGAGCAAGCCTTTACCAAAGTTTTCCAGTTTCTAAATCTGGCCCCCTTCTGGCTAAAGACTTAGGACAATGTTATCTTTTCCACCACGACAGTGGCATCTAATGGTCTTGGGGAAGGTCAAGGGAGCTGCTAGGATGGAGCCCACTGCCAAGAAAGGTGAGAAACTGGAAGAATGATCTGCCTCCAAGTAGGGAGATAAGCGTTTTCTGTGCTCACTTTAAAAGACTTAAGTTTTTCCATTGAAACACAGCATTTATCTGGAAGGAAGGATTGAATACAGAAAGAGCTGAGGCACCACGTATTTCAGAGAAAGCACCCGTTTTCCAGAAGGAACTCTTTTACAGCCTGTAATGAAGCATCAGAGTTGGCCTTCACATCCTGTGGATGTGAATCCCTTTACATCTCTCTGCTGGTACTATGACTGACTGCCTCTAAGCAGCCCAGATGGGTCCAAACAAATCAAATCAAACACTGCAGTCCAAAAGTGGGAGGAAAACTCTGGAAAGGGACACTTCAGAGCTGCAGGCAAGGCGGTATGAATTTAATTTTTATTTTAAACTAAAGACAAAAAAAATCCTGACTCTAGAGATGCTACAGGGCACGTAGAACTGCCCATGTGAGTTTCTGAGACTCTTAACGGCCTCAGAACAATAACAAACCTACTCTTTCTCTTGCAGAGCAGTTGGTAGCTTCCAACTGCTGCCCTTGTGGGTCTCAGTCTGATGCATAACCACTATACCACCCACTAGAGGCCCAAAACTAATGAAACCCAGTCTATCGGGTGGACCCTATGTAGGGAAGGTTCCAAGGCTGTAAACCTTTCTGGGTGCAGACAGCCCCATCGTTCTCCCTCAGAGGCTGCTGGGTTTGAGCTGTTCTCTTTGCAGCTAGCAGCCTAATGCCTTACACCGCCCGCCTACCCCCCGCCCCCCAGGGCTCCTTCAACTAAGGAAAGGTGATAGAAACCCCATGGGGGTTGCTGCCTGATGTGTGTGGGAATGGGAAGAGGGTGTGGAAGGGTGAGACCTTTCCAGTGATGGGAACATTCTATGCCTCAGTGGAGTGCTGATTACATGGGTGTAAGTATGGCCAAATTTTATCTAATTGCACTTTTAAGACCTGTGTGTGTTTTTTGTCATTGTAACTTTAAAGAATAGCCCTTATTGGTTACTTGTACAGAATAAACTTTATTCTGGAGAGTCTAGTAATGGTGCTCCCATACCAACTCTGCCCCTAACCTCCTATGGCTATGGGGAGGGCACTGAATCTCTAACTTAGGCGTCTCAATTCTTTCAATTAAAAGATGACACTTTTCTCAGTTTAAAATGGCTTAGTGATTGAGACGATAGTGCCTGGAGATATTTTCTGGGGCTTCCTGGGGCTCAAGATAGAGTGCGTCAGTTTGGGGATGTGACAGGGTCCTGAGACTGATACCAAGCAAGAGCTCTTTCCTTTCAACTGACAAACTCTAGTTCAAAGACAACAGGAGCAGATGGGATTGCTAGGCAAAACCTGGGCTGCCCACATGTAACTACCCAGAGCTTCTCTCTGAGAGGCTGGTTATTAAGCTGAAGAAAGATGCTGGGCGTGGGCTCTGGTGTCAGGTTGGTTTCACCACCGGGGGGCCACTGCATCTCTCCCCACAGGGATGCTGCCGGGATTCCATGCCCTGTTCCTTCTCCTGGCCTCCTGAGCACAGGCCATCACTGTTTCCATTGGGAGCTCGGCCCCTCTTGGAGTCCGCCCAAGTCTGGGAACACAGGCTGGAACCACCCTTGGCAGCCCGGCCCTCCGTGGAAAGGCGTTCAGCTTTGCTTTTCCTCCCGCTGAGGCGCCTTCCTGCACTCGGGTGGGAAAGCAGGTTCCTAACCCTGCTGGCTCATCAGGAGATGACAAAAATTCCACCCAAACTTCAGAGCCCAGATTTACTAAAGGGGAGGTAGGGGCAAGAGGAGCGGGCAGAGACTCCCACCCCTATATTGTCACCACCATGAACCAGGCCATACAAAGGGGGCTTCAGAGAGCTTGTGGGAAAATGACATAATCTTTTAAAGCCATTTTTCCTTCCACACATATTTTGAAGCCCGCTTGAACAGTCAGGCGGCCTTCAGCTGTGGTTTTAGCAGAACAAAAATGGATTTTCTGGAAAACGTATTACACCTTTTTCTGCACTCCAGGATGTAATGTGTAACTACATTCTTTTTAGTACCAATGTCCTCATTTGGCACTGGGATTATGTGGGAAACCAAGAACCAAGGAGAGAGTGTATGTGGACAAATTCTCCATACTCATAATTGAGTCTGGGAAGCAGACTCGGGTGGAGGAAGGCCTTCAAGGTCATGAGCTTGAGATGAATCCCAGTCATTCACCGAACTAGAAGTTATTCCCCACAGTGTCCCCTGTAATGATGCCAATTCTTAAGATGCCCAGCCCCGAGAGGGACTAAGAGAGATAACACTGGCCCCACAGCATGTGAGGGGAGCAACAAAGAGGTTGGTTCAGGAGTTAACAAAGAGGAAGTGGTAAAAATTGGGGCAGTTTTGAGGGAGCGGTATTTGGAGTAGGGCCAGGAATTAAGAAAGCCCCTTAAAGAACACAGGTGCGCAGGCAAGAGTGGGTATACAAGGGAGCTCTAGAAAATGTGTGGAAAACAGAATTGAAAGCTATTAGAATTTTTTGAAGAATCCCCTACCCCCCACCAGCTCACTGCCATTGTTGTTGCAGTGACTATACGTTACTCGTTATAAACAAAGAGCCTGCCTGAGCTCCTCCTGTCCTAAGAGGCTCTGAAGAACCCCAAGACCCACTAATTAAGGATTGGTTAAAACATCAAGGTATATCTACACGGAATCCTATTAGGTTGTAAAGACTATGAACGGACAAATTAAGATAACCAGGATACAGTATGAAATGGAAGAGGAAAAAAAACTTGTGTATTTTTAAAAAATAAAATACGAGTAAATATTCATGCTTAAGGCATGCAAGTAAGGAAGTGTCCTTGTTTGACCCGTGGCGATTTTTTTCTCAGAGAACCCACCTGTCCCTCAGGAACTGCTGTGTCTTACAGACAGACGGGCCCATGCAGTCCCTCCACATGATACGGGGCCGGTGCCACCACTTCCTGGCCAGGAGGTGCTGCTCTCGCCTCACAGACCTTTTCCTGCCCAGCAGAGGCAAGCACTGCTACTCTGCCTCATCCAAACAAAGGAGAATGAAGGACAAGCCACACTGCAGTGCCTTCGCAAGAGAAGTTTTATTGTTAATCATTTACCTTAAGTTTCAGAAAGAGGAACAGATTAGCTCAGTCCAACATGATTGGCAGTTGGCAAAAATCTAGTGAAGCAAGTGTTCTGATTGCTAAGGATTTATCTGGATGCTTTTAATACTTAGCTATCTAACACTTCAGACATAATCCAGAACCAATGTGTCATCTCCCTCTCTGTCACCTTAATACCTCACCTACTTCACTTCAATGTGGAAATATTTTCATTAAATATGGTTCCCAGAGGAATAGTTCCCTGGGGCTTAGAGCCATGAGCACAATGCACAAAAAGAAAAACTCAAAATAAACTCTGATAATTTACTATCTAAGGAACAAAACCTTCCAATATATTAAGAAATAAATCCAGTTACAAATGCACTAATCGGTCTATGTCGAAAGGGTCTGTGTAGTAACTGAAAACGGCTGGCTATTTACAAGATCCACAAACAGGAATGGTGCACCTAGCCCCGCGCTGGCCCTCAGAAGCCAAACGTGTTCTCTCCGCTGTAGGCCACATACAAGAATCCGTCTTCATCTCTCTCCTTCTCGTAAAGCTGTCCCATAGTAAGGCTTGTCATGAGAAAAGGGGAGGAAAAAACAAAAACCACAGGATTAGAATTGGCTACCAACCAGGAGATCAGGAGAAGAAAAGTCACCAGGTGTCAGGAGATGAAACTGGAACCACAATCTATCTTCCTGGCCCCATACAAGGCCATTTGTCACCTTCATTATAATAAATCAGGGGAACCGATTGCAATGATCGAACTCATAACACACACACCCCATAAACAAAAGAAATGTGGGTGAAGGGCGACAACGATCAGTGTGAGATATGAAAATTTATCAGGGGGGAGGGGAAGGGGGGAGTGAGGTTAAAAAGAGGAGCTGATACCAAGGGCTCAAATAGAAAGTAAATGTTTAGAAAATTATGTATACAAACATGCTTGATACAATTGATGTATGGAATGTTATAAGAGCTGTAAGAGCAAAAATAAAATTTAAAAGCTGTAAGAACCCCCAATTATATATATATATATACATATTATACACACATATAAACCTTTTTTTAACCCTTTTATGGCCAATAGGACATCGAGTATCCACCCATTTTCTGCATCTGTTCTTCCATAAATCTAAAGAAACAGGCCTCATCCCACCAGCCCCAACACCAGAGACCCCTCAGGGGACAGGCCCTACTAAATGTATCCAAAGGAGTCCTGGGGGCTGCAGAGGGCCGGAGTTGTTACTGCAAGGTCAGCAATTTGAACAGGCTGTCTGCTCCTGTGAAGAGTTACAGTCTTGGACACCCAAGGGCAGTTCTACTCTGTTTAGAGGGTCACTGTGAGTTGGAATGAGGTCCATGGCAATGGGTTAATTTTATCAAAATCAAATTGTAAAAGTTTGCCCCTATTTCATTTAAAATGCCTTCCACTACCAAAAACACATGGTTTCAACAACAAAAAATCAGGCAGAAGATAATGAGTCTTGGAAAGGTTAAAGAAGTCAGTTGCACACGTATAGTTGGTTGGCACATGAAGATTGTTATAAACTTGAAAAGTGAGGAAAAACCTCAACAAATTGAGGTGAAGGTTAAGGAGCCAGATAAGGGGGTTTACCTCCACGTTGGTTTGCTTGAAGATTTATGTACACCTGACATGACAGGTACAGTGGGTTCATTCTGTATACACTCCCATGCCAAAGCCGTATGTCCCCAGAGATGTTCCCAGGAATCAAAGAAAAACAAACCATTTTCCTCACTTGCAATGCAAAAGAGCACTCAGATTATATGTGAAACCCGAAGCCTTACCCAACCTCCCCAAGAACCCTCCAGAAATAGCTATTCCTCCAACGAAGCGTGGGTGGGGAGGCTGGTTTCCCTTCACCGTAAACAGACTGCAGTGGAGCAGCCTCATCTAGCGCTCGGCCCTGCGCTGTGCCAGCTGGGGAGTAGGACTAGTAACACCTGGAACCCTGCGCAGCCCTGCCCATGTGCCTACTATGCCCGCTCAGCGGGAGGTGCAGCATGCCCCAGGCTGACTAAGCAGTAGTGTGACCATGAGTGGTGGGGTCAACCAGAACCAGCTGGCAGGGCCACAGAAAGCTGGCTTGGATCACCAGAGGTCACTAGCCCAGATGGGTTTAAAGAAGAGCTTAACTGCAGGCCCCATTCAACCAGGACCTCCAGCTAAAGCAGCACCCACTGGTGGCCTCACTCAGCTTGCCTTTCTCCCAGCTAACGGAGGAGAGGGAGAGGGAGGGAGTTCTTTTGGCTGTTTGCAAGCTGAGCCTGATCAGCTGTGTGGGTAGAGGATTGGGTGGAGGTGGATGAGTGAGTGGATGAGGTGGAGGTGGATGAGTGAGTACAGAGGGGCCTGGCCTGCGCACCTTGTGCAGTAAGACAATTTTCCCCGTGAGGCTCCTTCCCCTAGCGTTTGTAAGGCTGGGATTCCCTAGACCACAGCAGACCAATAGCAGGAAATGATTTCTCTCTGTGCTGTCCAACCCAGTAGCCACCAGCTACATGTGACTATTGCTCACTTGAAGTACTTTCAGTGTGCTGTAAATGTAATACTCAGGCCTTCAAAGACTTAGGAAGAAAAGGGAATACATCATTTGTATTACGTATTATAATACCACTTTATGTCTCTAAAGTGTTTAGATATGTGTATATAAAGCTGCAGTGTTTTGGAAAGTCCAAATGCTGATTATTTAGGTTGTTCCACCTGACTCTCTGGTGAGTACTAGAAAATGTTAAATGATACACGATTCCTATGATAATCCTGTTGACCTCCCTGCCTCCTATGAGGATTTGGGGGGCAGAAGGTAAAAGTAGAACCCCTGCCAATGAGAACACACGGCTGCAGGTCTTGACCTCGTGTACACATCAGAATCCTGCCCCTCCCCCCAAAGAAAAAACCAACCCCAAACCCACTGTCATCCAGCCCATTCCAACTCACAGCAATCCTACACGGAGTTTCTGGGACAGGAAATCTTTCTGGGAGCTGAAAGTCTCATCTTTTGCCCTCAGCACCAGCAGGTATGTTTGAACCAACAACCTTACAGTTAGCAAGCCCAAAGCCCAACCCACAGCACCACCTGGGCTCCTTATCACTGGCGATCTTTTGAAACATCCCCAAGTCCCGGCCCTACCCTACACCCGTTCACCTGGCACCCCTGGAAGTGGGACCCAGGCATCCATTTTCAAATGCCCAAGATGCCTCCCCCTGCAGTCAGAAAGAGGTGTTCTTTTGTGTTTCTGAGATACTCTTCTTAAGAGTCAGATGATTTGCAAGTAGAGCAAAGGGGCTTGAGAGCAGGTCACCCAAGAAGCCTTGGACCCTACTTCTCTCTAGGGCTCAAAGAAATGGGAAACAGCTACAGCCGGCGCCACACATCTGTCCCACTCAGCCCACCACCTCCCATTTCCAAATTGGTTTTCATTTGGACACAGCAGGTTCAAACATGGACAAGTGGGCAATTCGATGGCAACCACCTCTTGGTGCCATCTGACAGGTGTGTCCTGTGTTTGCCTACTAAGTTCAAGCCTGTCTTCGCCGATGCCAAGCCCCAGCTGCACCATTACAAAGATATTTATGAACACCAGTGGCCTGGCCCAAATTTTGTAGGCTGCTCCCAGGGAGTGGTGAGCAAAGCAAACTCTAAAACTGAGTCAGACTTGTCAGGAGCCCATAATCGTGTGCTTTTTGTTCCTTTCTGCCTTTAAATTCTAGTATCTTTGAGATAAAACTTAAGATTGGTTTAACTGATACCCTTATATCTGTGGAGGGAAATGCTAAAAACTGTAATTACAATAACCGACTCTTACTATGTGCCAAACACTTCTAAGCGCATTTCAGACATTTAATTCTTTACCCTCTCAACAATCTCTTATGCGGAGGCCCTGGTCCTCCACAGCTCAAAGAGACAGAAACCGAGGCCCAGGTTAAAATTGCGTGTGGTCCAAGGTCACAAAGGTAAGACAGTCTGGGTCTGCCATTCTATGCTGCCTAGGGTGAAGAGACAGATGGGACCTCATGACAGGGGATCAAGAGGCCCTGAGCCTTCTGCTGAGATCTTCCTTAGAAGCGCATGTCTACACACATGAATCGCCTGGTGATGTCATTCCCCTGCCAATGTGGATTTGATGTGCCCAGGGCAGGGCCAAAGACACTGCATTTCTAACAAGCTCTGGGTAGGGCTTACTGAGCAGTGCGATTTCAGAGCACGCTTCCTCAGATCCTGCAATTTGATAGCATGATGGCTGTGCCTAATGACTTCGAGAGTCCTAGCACCTTCTCCTTTTCATTGTCACTCTAGCTTCAGGTGGAAACTTTATTTGGTTGGCAGCAGATCTGTGTCCTACTCGGGATACCCCTTGGCAAGGAACTTAAAAAGTGATGATCCTCGATGCTGGGAGCTGAAGAAATCCACTTGGCAGCCTGAGGCTGAGCACCAGCTGACTTCCAGGCTACACATCTGGATGTCGAAAAGCCAGACAAGCCCATGATTTGCAAATAGTGCAGTGGGATCAGGCCACACATGCAGAGTCAGAGCAACTTGGCAGGCAGCCACACAGAGCTAGGTCATAAACACAGCTTAAAAAAAAAAGTTCAATTAAATGATACCCCAGCGGGAGCCTGGGGGGCAAAAAGTGACCCCACGGCAGGCAGCTCACTGCAGCCGGGAACCTCTGAGAAGACAAGTGTCCCTCTAGGAATTTAAAGGCCTGAGCCCCACCACACTGTCACTGCACAGAGGCAGCTCTCAGGAGATGGTAGGCCCAGCTGCACAAGGTCCTGAGGTGGCTTCCTGCCTGAGTGGCTGGGAGGTGACTGAAGACACCCCCGGGGTGTTTATCACCCCTCTTTCCCACACATGCCTTCATCAAACAAGGATGCTGCTGCTGCTGGGTCCCAAGGGCACTCCCCAACTCCCAAGTTCTGAGTCTGAGAAATGGGGAAAAGCAGCCAAGGGCAGGTTCAAGCTCTTCAGCCAATCTAAGAGGTTAGGGGAGCTTAAAGTACTACCTGAATGGAATCTAAATTGCCCCCTCTTTGCTTTGTTCAGGGGCACACAGATCCAAGCAAGAAACACCTTTCTAGGGAAGAAACCAAACAGTACTAAAGTAAAGCTTCAGCAGGCTCACCTTCAGGAATGCCCAAGCTGCTGAGGGCAAATATGACTTTTCTGTTGTCCAATAGCCTTAGGCAAAGGTGACTAGAAGGACACCCAATCCCCACAGAACTTGCCCTCAGCCTCGGACCAAGGGCAGGTCATGGAGGCTGTGAGCACCCACCTGAAGATGAGCACACCTAGCCACCCATCTGCCTAGGAGCCCATGTGCTTCCACTCGGCCTGGGTGTGTCTTTTCTAGGGAGGGGAAAGGGATGGGTGGAGTAAGAGGACAAGGACCAGCGCTGTGGATCCTGGAAAAGCATTGGATAAATTGGAAGTGTGTGCAGTACTAAAGGCTGGCTATTTCTTTTCTCCATCTGTCCTCTTTCTTCTTCTGCTGGAATAAGCCCTGTTCTTAAAGAGGAACTGCATCTTTATTTAAGCCCCTTTATAAAAGATGAACGAGACTATAGCAGCCTTCCTTTTACTTAGTACCTCTTTAAGCAGCTTGATGCCATAATCTTACACAGCACAGGTTTCTCAAAAGGCCCAACTCAACCATCCTAAACCACAAACCAAACCTGTGGTCAAGTCCACTCCCATCTGACTCATAGTGACCTGACAGGACAGCAGTTAGGTGCTTTTCCCACTGAGCCATCAGGGCCCCTTACGACATCCTAGAGATCTTTTATTTAAAGATATAACTCTGTTTCTCTTTTAAAGGAATCCTGGTGGCTCAAAGGGTTACTGCAAGGTCAGCAGTTCCAACCCACCAGCCAGCCACTCCACAGCTGAGACTTTCTGTTCCCATGAAGACTTACAGCCTTGGAAATTCAAAGGGGCAGTTTTCTGTCCTGTTGTGTCCATGAGTCAGAAGTGACTTGGTAGCCTTTGGTTCTGTTTTTTGGTTTTGGTTTCTATTTTAAGACGCCTTGGTGGCCCTGTGCATTAGGTTTGGGGCTGTGAACCTCAAAACTGGAATTTGAACCCACCAGTGACCCTGCGGAGGACATATAAGACTGTCTGCTCCCATAAAGATTTAGCCTCAGAAACTATAGAGCATCACTAGAAGTCAGAATCGACCTGATGGCAGTAGGTTTGGGTTTCGATTTTAAACAAGAGACTAACTAGACTCTTGTCTGTATTCTAAACAGACTCAAAGGTCACTGTCTTCTGTCTTCTAGTGCCAGCACTCTGGGGAACTTAGACAAGTTTCTGCAATGAGGCCTGGCGCCCCTTGCCGTCTTTGTGTGCTTCTTGATGCAAGCGCCTCAGGTCTTAAACGTTCCAGTATTAAATGGAAAGGCAATTTAGATTGGATCTTTTCCCCCCTCCATACGGAAACAAGAACTCAAAGGATTTAGGAAGTAGGTCCTAAGAGAACTGGAAGTGAAAACTGTCTGCCTTTCTCTATGACGGGCTTCAAAAGGTTGTGGGGAAATTTCTTCGTATTTCTGAGGAGTCCCAGTGGCTCAGTGGCTAGAGGGCTCAGTTGTGCTCAAGCCCACCAGCAGCTCTTTAGGGACGAAAGATGTGGCTGTCTTGTTTCTATAGCGATTATAGCCTTGGAAATCCCATAGGGCAGTTCTACTCTGCCCTACAGGGTGGTTAGGAGTTGGAATCGACAGACCAGTGGGTTGTGTTTTTTCGGTTTACATCTCTATTTCCAGACTTGCCACTGGGATAGGGGGAGGGATCCTGCAGGCTGGATTCATGTGTTCTCAGCTCTGATTTCCGCAGCCACTCTAGGAAGGCTGTGAGCATTAGGTTTCCCTAAGGAGCTAGAGGAGACTTGTTAACCCGCCGGGTGAGGGAAGGGGAGGCTGAGTAATACGGTAGCTTCAAGGACCAAGGCCACTTTCAGTGCCGAGATAAAGCTTCATAGTCTTGGAAACCCTATCGGACAGCTCTTCTCTGTCCTATGGGGTAGCTTTAAGTCATTGGCAGTGGGTTGGGGGTTTAGAAAGCACATTTGTTTGGGCTGGCAGGTGATGAGCATTTGCATAAAGCCCAGTGAAGCCACATGTCTCCTATGTTTATAAACAAATTTGTTTTTTTACTAAAATTCCAAAATGAATGAGGAACTGGGGCATCAAGTGTAGGAAAGGCAGTCATTAACTAGGTCCATTTGTGCTGCAGACCTGTCCAGAGGGCTCTGGACAGCATGGAGGGGGACTCAGGAGCTGTAAGCACTGTACTGGAGAGGCTGCGTCAGGGCTGGGTGTGGGGGGAGGTCAGATGCGCAGACATTCCCTCCCCTGAAGGCAATCAGTTGACAGACTGCTGTCTCATCCCACCACAGGGGTGGGCCTGCTCCCTGCCTCTGGGGACAATGGACAGGCTCCTGTAGGAGGGGTTTGCACCCTACTGATAATGGTTCCTATGGAGACCCAGAGACCACCCCCTAGACCACCCTCTCATTGCTGTGTAACCTATAGTGCAGCCCCTTCCTGTGACGTATGTCTCTACCTGTAACTAGTGGGCTGGCTTGCCCCCAAAAGGTATATAGGTGTGAGCCAGTAATATAGATCTCTCTCTCTGACTCTGAGCTCCTTGCTGCTCACTCCTTGGTCACTCCCCTCTCCCTTGTTCCCTTTCCCTCCTTCCCTTCCCCCTCTCTCCACGTGGACCACCAAGCTGGGCTGAGGTGAGCAATGCTATCATGTAATGTGTCTGACTGTATTATTGTAATATCTCTCATGCTCTTGATGACTTTAATATAATGCTTATATATCTCAACTGTACAATTGTGCATTACTGAACCCAGAAGTAGTAGTACTGAACCCGAGTAGTAGTATAAGTAGTATCAGTGGGTGGGGGCTGGCCCTTCACCCCCCAGCGCCATTTTTTTAATTTAATACTACAGCTGGGGTTCCTGGTCACTGGGGTAATCTGCTGTAGGGCGGGTTCTCACCAGGTTGGAGGGGTAATGGGGCTTGGGAGAAGAGAAAGCAGCAGGGAAGCATCCTTGGCTGCCCGGACAGAGAATCACTTTTCACTTCCAATTCTATTTATATCCTGAGGATAATGGGGGTGGGGGTAGTTGGTGAGCTCTGCAGCCACTGTACTGGCTGGACTGAGGAGCCATCCAAGCAATCCTGTCTCCAGAAGCCCACAGCACCACTTCTGTCAACACCCTTCAAGAAGTGTGGGAAGCCATCTCAATGCCATAGGTACTAGCCACTTACTTCCTCCTCCAAGAAGCCATCTCCAGGAAAGAACACAGGGTGGCCAAGGCCCTGCTGAAGCTGTGGGCAGTTAAATAAAGACTTAGCTCTCCACAAACCCTAAGGGAACTTCAGCAGTGATCGGATGCTCAAGGCTTCCTCCCCTGGTGAACTGTGCTCCCAGCCACAGACTGCCCAGAGGCCTATGGGAAAGGAAGGCCAGAGAACCCACTGGGGTGACAAAATCACCTCAGTGGTCACAGAAAACTGGTACCATAAGGACCATAAGGAAGAGCCTTCTTCCCCCTAACCTGCCTCTCTCACAAACATAAGCAAGTAGAAGCAGTAAAGACTGGGAAAGAGGAAATCACAGCCAGCCAGAGCCTTCTTACCTTTTGTAGCAATAAGGTCTGGAATTGGGCCAAGGTCTCTTCTAGAGCTCTTAAGGATTTTCAAACAGAGCCTACTTTGGCCACATTGGGCCAGTTTCCAAGGCTTCAGAAAGCCTTGGCATTTAGAAATACTACTTGTGAGGCTAATGAAAGAAACTCCAACTAGTCTTCAGTCACTGAGATAAGAGCCATCCAGGAGCTCCCACTACTCCCGGGCAAGATGAAGGCCAGAATGTGTTTTCAGGCCTACAAATACTCAACCAGGAATGGGACAGGGATGGCCGCCGTTTACACGGAGCCAGCCCCTCTTCCTCTTTTCACAGGCGACAAGACTGGGTCGTCACCTACGTGGAGGAGAGGGATTGTAATGCTTCCGCCCTAGATTCAGGCCCCAAAGTTAACCACTTTAATGGACTTGAGGGGCAGACAGCTATGAGCTGTCATGGTGGCTAGAGCTGACTGAGTGTAAAAAGCTGAAGTTCCTCATGGAGAGTGACAGGCAGGGAAGGCTAATTTGGAGAAGATGCCATTTTAGATCTCAGTTCTAAACCAAAGTCTGCAGCTGTTGTAAAAGATCCCTGGAGGCCTGAGTCTGGGTCCCACCAAAAACAAAACAAAAAATCCCAGGCCTTGTTCTACTTTCTTAGCCTGCCCAAAGCCCACTCCATACAGCAGCGCTTCCTCATTTTCTAGAAGCTCCTGACATCAGAGAGTACACACTCCAGGTTTCATTTCAAGTGTCCTTGGCACTTTTACCCCAAAAGTTCCGAGTTCTGTGAGCAGTTAAACAGCTAGCCACCACACAGGGGCCATGTGGTGACTGTCTCTCACCTGGACTGTGGGACTGTCTTGTCCACAAAGAGGAAGATTGCCTTCTCAGAAGGAAGTTGGATCCTTTTCCTGATGATCCACATGAACTGAGCCACAGTGATGTCAGATGGAACCAGGTACTTCCGTTTGTCAATGTCAACAATCTGAGAGCCAGAGACTTTTTCCACAATCACCTGCGAGAGAAGAGAAATCAGGACTGGATTTCTCGAGTGAGGCTCTGGCCCCGGATGTCAGCAGAATTGATGTAGGTTGGAAGGTGGGTGGGAACCTGCATAGCATTAGAAAAGAGGTCCCCTGCTTAACAAACCACACACACATTGGAAGTTGAGAGCTAATCTAAATGCATTATATGGAAACGGTAAGTGCTTTTCTGCGGTCAATTATATGTCTCATCCCTGATCTCAGCCTGTGCAAGAAAAACAGCTCATACTGCTAAGCTATTCAAAGCTTTTGGGCAGACACACAACATTTGGTAAGGGGATCATGTACAGCCCATTACTCCAAGGCCCTAGACTGGATCTGCCCTCATACGATAGAATGAAGCTCTCAAGGAACCCAGCAGACAAGAATGGTCAGACTAAATGAACTGACTGGTCATCCCAGCCAGCCGAGAACCGCCCACTCCATTTGGCCTGGTGCTTCCCTATGAACTATGTTTCAGATGTGTCCTTATCCCCAAAAGAAGGGATGGATCACAGGCAAAGAGCTTTAATAACAGGCCTGAATGTCCTTCAAGAATCAATAACGACTGCACTTCACGGTGAAGAAATACAGGATCGTATGGAGGCTGAGTAATACGGTAGCTTCAAGGACCAAGG